CACAGAACATTCGGACAGTTCTTACACACTCTTTGTCCAGAAAAGAAAGCTCTTGTCAGAACACAAGAAAAATTAAATAAAAGCTCAACCGTAGTACCTTGTCTGTCGTTTTTAATGAAACACGCATATATATATATATATATATATATATATATATATATATTTTTTACTTATTTTTCTTGTTTTTAGTATCCTTTTCAGCTTGTCATTCTTGTTAAATGGGTCTAGATTATTTATAATTTCTCTAAATAGTTCTGGATTGTTCTCGTTTTATGTTGAGATATATGCTAGAGTTTGCCGTTACGTTTTTGGGATTTCGTAATAGGTCTAGGTGATTTTTTTGCTAGTTCTGAACTTTTGTTTATTATGAAAAATAGAGTATAATATATATTTTAAAATAAAATTCCACATTTCAACCAAAAACTAATATATATATATATATATATATATATATATATATATATATATATTCGGCGTCACGATCATATTGTGAAACGGAACGCTGATCTTAAAAATTTCAGTTATTATGTTTTGATTAGTCTTACTCTTATGTCTATCGTCTTTTCATGTTGACTTGAATATCGTCTAATGTTAATGATGTTTTAATAACTATGTCCTGAAGAAGGTCTACTAGACCGAAACGTCTGACGTCGACATTGAAATAACATTAAAACAGCATATTTGCATATTCGGATTTTTGTTTTTCCATGTATTTTTCTTCATACTGTCGGATCTATATCCATATATTTGCTTACACACACACACACACACACACACACACACACACACACATATATATATATGTATTTAATCAACATAATTCCTCACACATACACACACACACACACACACACATATATATATATATATATACACACACACACACACACACACATGTATATATATATATATGTGTGTGTGTGAGGAATTATGTTGATTAAATTTTGCTATATTTATGCAGGAACATTTCTCAATATCGGGAATTGCATTTTTAGTGTCAATTTCATGCTTTAAGAGATCATCAAAATACATGGTATTACTGTAAGTGTGGACAATCTATATAAGTTACTGATGGTTATGAGACTCGGTGAAACGGGTCAAAGCTTACTGTGACGTTGTTGGTTTTATTTATCTATATAGTTTTCGGTACGATATATATTGTGCAGACCTTATCGACTCCAAAGATGGGGAGAGTTCTATTTTTTTAATTCTTGGGGATCAAGCAACAGGCCAGCATCTTTGATGCCCATGACCATTGGCCCTCTACAAGAATTAACAATTCAATTTGGTGGCGTCTTCCAGCTAATGTGTAACTTATTGGCCACTGCACCATTGGTCTTGATGTTTGGTGAATTGCCTCTTTTGAAGGCGACTGGCCATTCCAGGTAGCTTCCATTTTGCTTGTCGACCGGTCTTTCTTGGACGTTGTTTCTTCCTTGGGAAGTGACAAGTTCTTTTTATGTTCTTCTTTAGGAGGTACCTGGTCCTTTAGAGTCGTTGAATCAATTGGTTTTGCCTCTCTTGAATGCACTGTATCCATGACACCCCTTTGGAGACGTTTTTCTTTTGTAATCAGGATCCGCTTTGGCTGATTTTTTTTTCGGCCATGATGAAAAATTCCAACACTCTTCAGCAACTTTTACTTGAAAGAATGATGGAAAAAAACAAACAAACAAACAAACAAACAAAACAAAACAAAACAAAAAAAAACCAAACAAAAAAAAAAACCCAAAAAAAACAACATTTTTCCGGTTTGTAAAGAAATGAGAAGTAATAAAATAAATGCGCAAAACAGAAGAAAGGTACAAAACTGGATTGTAAAAACACAGGCCACCATCTTTGATAAGATTCACATAACTTGCGGTTCTCTCCAATAATTCTGCTGAATAGACAATGCTCTTTGGTGGGGACTTCCAGCTACTGTGTAACTTCTCGACCATTGCACTGTTGGTCCTGGTTTTTCTTTGTTGAATTGCCTCTTTTGGTAAAAGTGAAAGAGGTAAAAATATCAAAATATCAATACAGAGAGAATCACTGCTAAAACATTCTCTCATAATTTATAGACAAATTCTAGATTATTGTTGGGATTGCTTCCGAACCAATAATACAAACCACTTCTCGATCTCATCCGCCATATGTTTTTGTCTTGGTATCAGAACGCTACAATCATTTGACTCTATCTCATTTGCATATGAACACCATTCTTACTTTGTGAACTTTTTACCTTATTCCTGTTGTTTTGCCTAGTTTTGACTATTACTATTTTGCCAAGTTCTTTTTCTTCCTTTACTTATTGTTCATTGGTAACTTTGCCAATTCCATTCGTTGGGCATTTTTGTGGATTACACTTAAACCTTGACCAATAACTCCACAGATGTACTTCCTGTTCTCTTAATAATTCACTCTATTACGTCCATGATATTCACAGATTTTATTGGCAGAACTTGATCTCTCTCGCTTCCTCTGAGAGGAGATTGCAGCGCATTCACTGTCATATTGGCGATTAGATATCACATAACATTTGTAGGAAATTCATTCAAAACCTTTAACCTATTCACGTCTCTTCACAGCACAATTGATTTATTTCTTCTCATATTTTTCTTCAGACAATACAGAAGAATCTTTTCTCACGGAAATGTGACGTTCCTCTTGGAATCACCAATTTACGGTGCCCTGTATAGAATCGATCTCATATTTTGTTTTATTCATATAATATTAGCAAGAATTTTCTTACTCTTGGCTAATAACTTCCCGACGTGCAGGATGCTCAAAGGTTGAGTACCGGGAAGATGATGCTCAAAGGTGGTTTACCGGGAAGATGATTCTCAAAGGTTGGTTACCGAGTAGACGAGGCTCAAAGGTTGGTTACCGATTAGATGAGACTCAAAGGCTGGTTACCGAGTTGATGATACTCAAAGATGCTTTACCAGGTAGGTGATGCTCAAAGCTTAGTTACCGAGTAAATGAGGCTCTAAGGTTGTTTACCGGGTAGAAAATATTCAAAGGTTGGTTTCCGAGTAGATGATGCTCAAAGATTGGTTACCGGGTAGATGATGCTTAAGGGCTGTTTACCGTGTACATGATGCTCAAAGGTTGGTTACCGGGTGGATGATGCTCAAAGGTTGTTTACCGGGTATATGATACTCAAGGGTGGTTTACCGGGTAGATGATGCTCAAAGATTGGTTACCGAGTAGATGACGCTTAAGGGCTGTTTACCGTGTAGATGATGCACAAAGGTTGGTTACCGGGTAGATGACACTCAAAGTTTGGTTACCGGGTAGATGATGCCCAAAAGTTGGTTACCGGGTAGATGATGCTCAAAGGTTATTTACCTGGTAGATGATGCCCAAAGGTTGGTTACCGGGTAGATGATGCTCAAGGTTTGGTTAAAGTGTAGCTGATGCAAAAAGGTTGGTTACCGAGAAAATGATGCTCAAAAGTTGTTTACTGCGTATCTCAAAGGTTGGTTACCGGGTGGATGGTGCTCAAAGGTTGTTTACCGGGTATATGATACTCAAGGGTGGTTTACCGGGTAGATGATGCTCAAAGATTGGTTACCAGTAGATGACGCTTAAGGGCTGTTTACCGTGTAGATGATGCACAAAGGTTGGTTACCGGGTAGATGACACTCAAAGTTTGGTTACCGGGTAGATGATGCCCAAAAGTTGGTTACCGGGTAGATGATGCTCAAAGGTTATTTACCTGGTAGATGATGCCCAAAGGTTGGTTACCGGGTAGATGATGCTCAAGGTTTAAAAAGTGTAGCTGATGCAAAAAGGTTGGTTACCGAGAAAATGATGCTCAAAAGCTGTTTACTGCGTATCTCTAGAATTAGAATGAAGGCATTAATGGCACCTTCACTGAATCCATCGTATAAATTCCGGATGTGGAATTATTAAATACTAAACACTTCAGATACTTCGACGTATGGAGCAGTTATAACAAATTGAATATAGCAAAAAAGGAAATTGAACATAGAATAGGTTGCACCAGAAGTAGTTTAGCCCAACACCGCAAATTGCAAAAAACGAAAATGACAACCTAAAAATTCGTATCCTGTTTCTAAACAGCCTCATCAATTCGAGACTTTCAAATGAATGTGATGTATAGCGCCAGATCCGTTCAGAAATATATAAACACTTTTCTTTATACAAATTGGCAAATATAATCCTTCTTTGAACATTGTGGGCTGGTGCTAGAGATTCACAAAGAAAGAACTGTACCAAATAACAGAAATCACATCACTGGAGGACTACCAACAGCGGCAAAACCTAAAATGGATAGCATATGTAAGTCACAGAGAAAGAAATGAGTTAATCAATATGTTAGCATTTCATACAAAAATAATACAAAGAAAGAGATCAGAAAAAGAGTGACAGTAAACAGTGGAAGGAGGAGAAAAAAAGAAGGAAATAAAAGACAAGAAAGAGAGTGAGAGAATTTTGTGAAGAACTGATAAAAAGAAAAAGGTAATGAGAAAAGAATTGAAATACAAGAGTGTTGAGAAGAAAAGAAAAAAGAGATAAGAAATAAATAGAAGGATAGAGAATAGTGTGGGGGGAAAAGAGAAAAACAAAGATAAAAGATTGAGAAATAATAGTGAGGTGAAGAGAAAGAGATAAGAATGAAAGAAGAGTGCTAGTTAATAGTGTGGAGAAGAAATAAAAAGAAAAAATACGAGAAAAAAAGGGTGAGTGAGAAAAGTGTGGAGAAGTGATAAAAAAGACACAAAAATGAAAAAGAGTGAGAGTGAATAATGTGGATAAGAACAAAATAGAAAAAGAATTGGGAGAGAATAACGTGAAGAAGAGATAAAAAGAAAGACATAAGGTAGAAAAAGAGCGAGCGGGAATAGTGTGAAGAAAAGAAAAACAGAAAGAGATAAGAAAGGGAAACAGAAAGAGTACAAGAGAGAAAAAAAAAGACAAAAATAGTGAGGTAGATTAGTTTGGGGAAGAGATAAAAAGAAAAAAATAAGAGAGAAAAAGAGAGAGGCTGATTAGTGTGAAGAAGAGCTAAATAGAAAAAGATAGGAGAGAAAAAAATTGGAGAAATTAATGTGAAGAAAATAAAAAAAGAAATAAATGAGAATGAAAAAGTGAGAAAAGGGAGAAGACATAAAAATATTAAGAGAGAATAAGTGAGGTAGATTAGTGTGAAGAAGAGATAAGAAAGAAAAAAAAGATAAGAAGAGAAAAAAGATGAAACAGAATAGTGTAAAGAAGAGATAAAAAGTAAAGATAAGGAAAGAAAGAGTGAGGTAGATTAGTGTGAAAAAGAGATCAAAATAAAAACATAAAAACGAAAAAGGAATAGGTGAGAATAGTGTGAATGAATGACAAAAAGAAAAATAATAAGAAAGAAAAAAGATTGAGAAAGTATAGTGTGGATGAAAGATAAAATTGAGGTAAACGTAAAAATGGCTGACAGAATAGTGAGAAACGAAAAGAAAGAAATACATGAGTTAGGGAAAATAGTGTTGAGAAAAGATAGAAAGTGAATAATGTGAATAATGTGAATTGATAAAAAGTAAGTGATAAAGAAGAAAAGAAAAAGAATGTTGCTGAGAAAGAGAGAAAAAAAGAAAACAAAAGAGAAATAGAGAGAATGGTGTTAAGAAGCAAATAAAACGAAACGGAGAAGGAGGGAAAAGGTGAGAATATCGAGGAGAAATAGAGACAAGCAGAAACAATTCTGTGAAGAGATAGATAAGAAGAGAGAGAGTATAAAAGAGAATAAGAGAGAGGATTTTGTCAAGAAATCGTTAAAAAGAAAGAGAGAAGAGAGTCAGTGTGAAAATGGCGAAAAAAGGCGAAGATAAAAAGAAATGAAGAGAGAGAGAAAAATTGAGTAAGCTGTGAAGAACTTGATAAAAAAAGAGAAAAAGAGAGAATATTATGAAAAAAGTTAAAAAGAAAGAAATTAAAGGAGAAAGGGAGAGGTAAGGTAAGACGAAAGATGGAAAAAGGAAAGAATAGAGACAATGTTGCGAAAATGTTGATAAAACGAAATGGAGAATGAAAGAAAACGAAAGAGAGAATGTCGTGAAGACATAGATAAGAAGAAAGAGAGAACATGAGAATAACAGAGAGAATATTGGGAAGAAACAAATATAAAGAGAGAAAGAGTGGACAATGTGTAGAAATAAAGAAAAAGAAAAAAAGAGAATAACAAAGAGAATGTTATGAAGAAACAGATATAAATAAAGAGAAAGGGAAAAGAGAATGTGTATGAGAAAGAAGAATAAAAAGATACTGGGAAATAAAAAGAGAAAAGGAAGGAAAGAATGAATGATGTGTAGAAAAAGAATAACAGAGGAATGGGAAGAAAAAAAGAAAAGCATGTTATGAAGAAAAAGATATAAAGAAAGAGAGAAAGAGAAGGAAAGAATGAATGAACAGTAGAAATAAAGAAATGGAAAGAGAAAAAGAATAACAGAGACAGAATAACAGAGAAGAAGAAACAGAAAGAGAGAAGAGAGAAATGGAAAGAGGAATAGAATAACAGAGGGATACTGGGAAGAAACGGAAAGATAGAAAAAGAGAAATGAAGTGAAAAAAAAAAGAGGAAAGAAAATAACATGCAGGATGTTGTGAAAAAACAGATATAAAGAAAAGAGGAAAAGAGAAGGAAAGATGAATGATGTATAGAAATAAAGAAATGGAAAGAGAAAAAAAAATAACAGAGAGGATACCAAAACTAGAAGAAACGGAAAGAGAGAAAGAGAGGGAAAGAGTGAATGATGTGTAGAAAAAAAAGAGAGCGAAAGAGAGAATAACAGAGAGAATGTTATGAAAAAACAGATATAAAGAAAGAGTGAAAAGAGAAAAAAAAGAGTATAATGATGTGTAGAAATAAAGAAATGGAAAGAGAAAAAAGAATAACAGAGAGGATACCAGGGAAGAAAAAAAAAAGGAAAGAGAGAAAGAGAGGGAAAAGTGAATGATGTGTAAAAAAAAGCGAAAGAGAGAATAACAGAGAGAATGTTATGAAAAAAAAAACAGATAAAAAGAAAGAGTGAAAGAGAAAAAAGGAATGATGTGTAGAAATAAAGAAATGGAAAGAGAAAAAAAAGAATAACAGAGATACCGGGAAGAAACGGAAAAGAGAGAAAAAGAGAAAAAAGATGAATGATGTGTAAAAAAAAAAAGAGCGAAAGAGAGAATAACAGAGAGAATGTTACAAAAACAGATATAAAGAAAGATGAAAAGAAGGAAAGAGTGAATGATGTGTAGAAATAAAGAAATGGAAAGAAAAAGAGAATAACAGAGAGGATACTCGAAGAAACGGAAAGAGAGAAAGAGAGGGAAAGAGTGAATGATGTAGAAAAAAAAAAAGAGAAAAGAGAGAACAAAGAAAATTTGTCAGAAAAACAGTTATAAAAAAAGAGTGAAAGAGAAGGAAAAGGAAAAAGATGTGAATGAAGAAATGTGAAAGAAAAGAAAGAATATTTGAAGAAATAAAAAAAAAGAATAACAGAGAGGAAAGAGGGAAGAAACGGAAAGAGAGAAAGAAAGGAAAAGTGAATGATGTGAAAAAAAAAAAGAGCGAAAGAGAGAATAACAGAGAAAATGTTTGTGATTTGGGTAAAAGATATAAAAGAAAAAGGAATGTCTGTATGAAGAAGAAGGAAAAAAGATTCCACAGAGAATGATGTAGAAAATAAAGAAAATGGAAAGAAAGAAAAAAGAGAATAACAGAGAGGACATTTAGGAAGAAAAATGAAAGAGAAAAAAAGAGGAAAGAGAAGAAATGATGTGTAGAAAAAGAAGAAATGCCATAGAAAGGAGAAAAACAGAGAAAGGTGAATACAACAGAAAAAAAAAAGATTTGAAAGAGAGGAAAAACAAGAATGATGTGAGAAACTCAAAATGAAAAGAAAAAGAGAGAATGGTACAAAAAATAACCGAAAAAAAATTGTAAAGAAAGAAATTGAGAGGGAAAAAGTGAATTGATGTGTAGAAATAAATAGAAAAAGAGGAAAGAGAGAAAGAGAGAGAAAGAGAGGATCAAAAGGATGATCTTAAAAAGAAATTTAGAAAAAGAATTAAATGATTAATCGTATTAAAAACATTATTAAGAAAAGAAAATTAGAAGGAATTAGGAAGATGTTGAAATAAAAATGGAAAGAGAAAAAAAATTTTAGAAAAAAAGAGAATAACATATTTTTTGATGGAAGAAATATAAATAGATAAAATATAGAGGGAAAAAAATATTCAAATGAATGATCATATAGAAATACAGGTGTGTGGAAATTAGCATATAAAAAGGAAAATAACAGAAATCAATGTTGAAAAAAAAAACATTGAACAAAGAGAGGAATTTTAAATAGAATTTTTGGAGATGGGGAAGGAAAAGAAAAATAAGAGAGAAAGAGAGAAAAAAAGATAGGAATGATGAATGATGTGTAGAAAAAAAAAAGCGAAAAGAGAAATAGAATAACAGAAGAATGTTATGAAAAACAGATATAAAGAAAAAAGAGTGAAAAGAGAAGGAAAAAAGTGAATGATGTTTGGAAATAAAAAATGGAAAGAGAAAAAAGAGAATAACAGAGAGGATACTATGCTAGGAAGAAACGGAAAGAGGGTTGAAGAAAGAGAAAAGAAAGATTGAATGTGTAGAAAAAAAGAAGAAGAAAGAGAGAATAAAATGGAGAGAGAAATGTTAAAAAAAAACAGATATAAAGAAAGAGTGAAAGAGAAGGAAAGAGTGAATGATGTGTAGAAATAAAGAAATGGAAAGAGAAAAAGAGAATAACAGAGAGGATACCGGGAAGAAACGGAAAGAGAGAAAGAGAGGGAAAGAGTGAATGATGTGTAAAAAAAAAAGAGAGCGAAAGAGAGAATAACAGAGAGAATAAGTTATGAAAAAAACAGATATAAGAAAGAGGAAAGAGAAGGAAAAAGTGAATGATGGAAATAAAGAAATGGAAAGAGAAAAAGAGAATAACAGAGAGGATACTAAAGAAGAAACGGAAAAAGAGAAAGAGGAAAAAGAAAAAAAAGAAATGAGAAGAAAAAAGTGAGAAAAAAAGAGAAAAAAAGATAGAAAATTTGGAAAAAAAAGGAAAGAAAGAAAGAGGAAAAAAGAGAATGATGTAGAAAAAAAAGAAATGGAAAGAAAAAGAGAAAGAGAGGAAAACAGAAGAAAAAAATATCAGAAAAGAGAGAAAGAAGGGAAAGAAAAATAAAGAAAAAAAAGAGAAATGGAAAAAAAAGAGAATAACAGAGAGGATACTGGAAGAAACGGAAAGAGAAAGAGAGGGAAAGAGTGAATAATGTAGAAATAAAGAAACGGAAAATGAAAAGAGAATAACAGAGAGGATACTGGAAGAAACGGAAAGAGAAAAACAGGGAAAAAGTGAATGATGTCGATGTAAAAAAAAAAAGAAGAAAGATAACAAGAGAAAAAAACAGATAAAATGGAAAAAAAAAGATATAAAGAAATTGGAAGAAATAAAGAAATGGAAAGAGAAAAAGAGTTAACAGAATGATACTGGGAAGAAAATAAAAAATTATGAAAAGAAGAAATAATGTAGAAAGAGATAAAAGAAATGGAAAGAAAGAGAAAAAGGAAGGAAAAAGAATAAGGAAATAAAGAAAATGAAAGAGAAAAAAGAGAATAATGAGGAAGAAACGGAAAGAGAGAAAGAGAGGGAAAAAGGAATGATGTGTAGAAATAAAAAATGGAAAGAGAAAAGAGAATAACAGAGAGGATACTGGGAAGAAACGGAAAGAGAGAAAGAGAGGGAAAGAGGAATGATGTGTAAAAAAAAAAATGGAAAGAAAAAGAGAATAACAGAGAAGGATACTGAAAAGAAAAAAGAGAGAAAGAAAGAGAGAAAAGGAAAAGAGAAAAAGAATGATTAAAAAAGAAGAAAAAACAGATAAAAAAAAAAAAGAGAAAGGAGTAAAGAAAGAAAGAGAGAAAAGAAAGAGAAAAAAGTGAATGATGTGTAGAAATAAAGAAAAAAGGAAAGAGAAAAAGAGAATAACAGAGAGGATACTGGAAGAAACGGAAAGAAGAGAAAGAGAGGGAAAGAGTGAATTGAGAAAAAAAAGAAATGGAAAGAGAAAAGAGAATAACAGAGAGGATACTGAGAAGAAAATGAAAGAGAGAAAGAGGGAAAAAGTGAATGATGAAAAAAAAAAGAGCGAAAAGAGAATAAAGAGAGAATTTCAATATGAAAAAACAGAAAAAAATAAAGAGAGAAAGAGAAGGAAAGAGGAATGATGTGTAGAAATAAAGAAACGGAAAGAGAAAAAGAGAATAACAGAGGATACTGGGAAGAAACGGAAAGAGAGAAAGAGAGGGAAAGAGGAATATGAGAAATAAAAAAGAAAATGGAAAAACAAAAAGAGAATAACAGAGAAAGAGGATGCTGGGAATAAACGGAAAGAAGAATAACAGAAAGAATTTTAAAAGTGAATGATGTGTAAAAAAAAAAAATGGAAAGAGAAA